TCATTGCCAAAGAAGCTGGCTGTTCACAGAGTGCTGTATCCAAGCATGTTAACAGAAAGTTGAGTGGTAGGAAAAAGATGCACAACCAACCAAGAGAACCACAGCCTTGAGAGGCTTGTCAAACAAAATCGATTCAAGAATTTGAGTGAACTTCACAAGGAATGGACTGAGGCTGGGGTAAGGGATCAAGGGCCACCACACACCGCCGTGTCAAGGAATTTGGCTACAGTTGTCGTATTCCTCTTGTCAAGCCACTCCTGAACCACAGACAATGTCAGAGGTGTCTTAGCTGGACTAAGGAGAAGAAGAACTGCACTGTTGCCCAGTGGTCCAAAGTCCTCTTTTCAGATGAGAGCAAGTTTTGTATTTCATTTGGAAACCAAGGTCCTAGAGTCTGGAGGAAGGGTGGAGAAGCTCATAGCCCAAGTTGTTTGAAGTCCAGTGTTAAGTTTCCACAGTCTGTGATGGTTTGGAGTGCAATGTCATCTGGTGGTGTTGGTCCACTGTGTTTTTTGAAAACCAAAGTCACTGCACCCGTTTACCAAGAAATTTTAGAGCACTTCATGCTTCCTTCTGCTAACCAGCTTTTTGGAGATGCTGATTTCATTTTCTAGCAGGATCTGACACCTGCCCACACTGCCAAAAGCACCAAAAGTTGGTTAAATGGCCATGGTGTTGGTGTGCTTGACTGGCCGGCAAATTCACCAGACCTGAACCCCATAGAGAATCTATGGGGTATTGTCAAGAGGAAAATGAGAAATGAGAGACCAAAAAATGCAGATGAGCTGAAGGCCACTGTCAAAGAAACCTAGGCTTCCATGCCACCTCAGCAGTGCCACAGACTGTTCATCTCCATGTCACTGTAGGATCCAGTTCTTGTTACCATGCTAACTCTGAGAGACGAGGCAGTCCAAGTAACTTCAAAACAGTGCTGATTTATTCAAAGGATCACAGGTAAAATTAACATTACACGCTCAGATATCTTGCACCTCCAACATGCACGCAGGCAGATGTAAGATGAAAGACCCTGAACCACAACAGGCCTATACATTATAACACCTCGGTTGGGCTAGCCCCATACTACACAGAAACGTCAACCGAGACGTGTCTCTCACCAGCTTTGCAGCTGGCTCTAGCAAT